AAATGTGTCACATGACGACGTCAATAATTCCATTTGTAGTTGGAGCCCTCGGATTGATTGGGAAATGTTCCTATAAACTCATTGAAGGGATTCCTGGTAGCACGTGACTTAAAGAAATACAAAAAAAATTGTATTCACAAATATAACTCACGCATTACAAAGAGCTTTATCTATGTAAAATGTGTGTGATCTTAGGATTGTTTTTTTTTTTATGAAAATGCTCAGTGGAAAATGTCATGAAGTCATTTCTGGGCTTAAGTCTCTGGTTGGGACCCGGATGAAAATGTGTTTACAACAGAAATCCAAGGAAATAATAATAATCACAATACACACAGACAAAACAATCAAAGCTAATCGCCCAGACATCGTGATCAAAGGCCACAAAAATAGAATGCGCTTTCTTATTGACATGCCAGTTTCTGTAGACAACTGCATCTTTGATCTTCAAAAAAAAAAACAAAAAAAAAACTATCAAAATTCAATTAAGTGGAAATCTCAAAAATGTGGCACATGACGACATCAATAATTCCAGTTGTAGTTTTGAATCCTATGTTTGATTCGAAAAGGTTCTGATAGACACATTGAAGGGATTCCTGGTAGCTCATGCCTTAAAGAAATAGAAAGAAATTGTACTTGCAAGTACAGCTCGCACATTACGAAAGGCTTTATCTACGTAAATACTAAAATGTGTGTGATTTTCTGTTGTTTTACTTTTTTTACAAAAAATGTTCAGGGGAAAATGTCATGATGGCACTGTGAGACCCAGAAGGAAACGAGTATACATCAAAAATCGAAAATATTAATAATAATAATAATAAGAAGAAGAAGAAGAAGAAGAAGAAGAAGAAGAAGAAGAGGTAGAAGAAGAAGAAGAAGAAGAAGAAGAAGAAGAAGAAGAAGAAGAAGAAGAAGAGGAAGAAGTAGAAGAACATGTATATCCCTGCAGACTGCAATTTATCTTTGAAGATCTTCAAAAAACTATCAAAATACAACGACCTTGAAATGGAAATCTCAAAAATATGGCACATGAGAATATCAACAATTGCAGTTGTAGTTGGAGCCCTCGGATTGATTGGAAAAGATTGCAATGGACTCATTAAAGGGATTCCTGGTAGCCCAGATCTTAAACAAATACAAAAAAATTATTCTCATAAGTACAGCCTACACCTTACAAAATGAGTACACACCAGAAATCAAAGGAAATAATAATAATAATAATAATAATAATAATAATAATAATTTTTATTTATTTATTTATTTTTTGTCAGTGGAAAGTGTCATGATGCCATTTCTAACCTTAGGTCCCTGGGCGAGACCCGGAAAGAAATGTGTAAACGCCAGAAATCAAAGGAAATAAAAATTAAAATAATAACTGTACCAATAGGAATCAGAGCTCTGGGTCTCGTGAGAAAAGCAATGGACAATTTTACTAACAGTGTTCCAACTAACATCAGCATAGAGGTTACCCAGAAGATCGCCTTA